CTGAGTCCTCTTGCAGGGAGTGGCTTCCCCTCTCCGAATTCATACTGTGGGGAGGGGAGCAGCCAAGAGTGAGGTCCGGTCCGGGTGTCAGGACAAGCATGGGGCAGGGAATGGTGTCCCAGGGCGGGGCGGGGGGGGGGGGGGGAGGGGGAGGGACAGGGAATGGTGTCCCAGGGGCGCGGGGGGGGGGGGGGGGGCGGGGAGGGAGAGGAAGGATTCTGGGAGCCGGAAGAAAGCTGCCTGGACATAGAGAGGTGGGGACCCCTCCATCCCTCTCTAGGAAGCCCGTCAGTCCCTTCTAGTCCTCCAAGATCCCACCCTCCCCCCAAGGCCCACAGGTACCTGAGTTGGGGGCTGGAGGGCCGGGGGCCCGGGGAAGGCGGCAGCACCCGCACCGCCGAGTCGCCAGCGCGGCCGAGGCCGGCCTGTGGGAAGGAGAAGGAGAGGCACCGGGGAGGAGTCAGCCCGGGAGCTCGGGCCAGCACACCCATCGCCACCAAGGCCGCTGTTCCCAGGCCGGACACCAGAGGGCCCCCACCCTGGCCCCTCCCTGGGAGCCCCAGTTCCTGCGGCCCGGAGGGGAGGGAGGCAGCACCCGCTATGGAGGTGTGAGGGCGCTGCACGGGGACTGAAGGGGGGGAGGGGCAGAATAAAGATAGGGGTGACAGCTAGATTCAGACAAAATGCAAATTCCTCTGTTATCTCGGGCCATGTGTTTGGAAAGATGCTTTATGTTGGGGCCTGTCTCGCTGGCAGAAGCAGCAGAGAGCCAGCCGGCTGCCCCGGGGGAAAAGGCAGCATAGAGGGGAGGAGGGGCGAGGCCAAGACCCTCCTGGGTAGCAGGGCTGGAGCTGCACAAAGGACTCTCCCCACCGCACTGGTGCCCTTCAGAGGGCCAGGGTCCGGGCCCACCGCCTCTCCAGGCCGCCTGGGAGGTCTGGTCCCGCCCTGGCAGCCTGGGGAGCCAGGGCGGCTCTGGGCCCACAGCCCAGCAACAGTGCCCCTCCTCCCCAGTGTGCGCCGTCCACCTCGGGCCTTACACCTGCTCTCCAAGCGGCACCTCCCCTCCACTCCGCTGTCCTGCTCCCTCCCCGCCCATCCCCATGCAGAGAAGAGGCTGAGGCCGCTGGGCAGCCCTGCCAGGGCACCGTTTCCTGGAAAGCCCAATCCCCTCCGTCTTAAAACTCCAAGTCAGGGATGAACTGTGGGGCTGAGTGGAAAGCCTGCATGAGGTCCTAAGTTAAAGGGGGAACATCAGAGTCTTGAGAAGACAGCCCTAGACCCTCCCCCTGCCTCTCCCACCAGCCGGCGTTCCTCTGCCAGCAAGCCGCTGGCCCACAGCCGAGGACCCTGAGCTCAGAAGGGCAGCAGCTGGCACTGAGGCAGGACTGGGCGTCCACAGCCCGGACCTTGAGCACCCAGCTGGTGCCGGGGGTGGACAGAGGACGGAGAGGAAATGTCCTCAGGAATGACGTCCAGCACCAGCCAGTTACTCAGGAATGATGTCCCCTCTCGCTGTCCCAGGCAGGCCGGCACATGCCCTGTATGGGAGGGTAGGGGTGGGGGAAAAGGGGGGGAAGAGGGAGGAGGGGGAAGGGACACTGGCCAGTGGGAGGGAGGGCTGCAATCTGGCCCCCTGCTCCTTCATGCCAAGTCCTCATGCCAGCCAGAGGGAGAGGTGCCATTCTCACTTCACCTCTGCTCACCAAGGCTTTTGCCTCCCGGAAGGGCGGAAGGAAGGGCAACTTCCAGTTTCCAGAAGGTCACGGTGAGGGCCGGTGTCAGCCTGCTCAGGAGCCGGCAGCAACGCCGCCACCGCAGCCACGGCAGCCTGTGACCTCTACCCTCTCCTCCCTCCTGGTGGTGAGGCACCCAGCTCCCTCCCTCAGGGCCACCGCCTTCCTCTTCCCTCTTCCTGTCAGCGCAGGGCGGGCCACCTGTCTTCCCAGAGGCGACCTTTCCCCTCCGAGTCCAGCAAGCCCGCTCATCTGCGCCTCGGGAGCCGTGTGCGGCCAGCACCTCTCAAGCACGCTCTGGTGACACGGGCTGTGACTGAGGGAGTGGCGGGGAAGGAGGGCCACGGGTTTAGGAAGCTGAACGTGTCTCTCTCTCCCAGGACCTCAGTGCTTTCTTTAAGGTGCTACTGTGCACGGGGACACCCACGAGGGAGCTGAGGGGCTCAGGGGAGCCCCCACCATCTGATTCGTTTCACTTGTCCACCAGAACGCAAGCGTCGGTGGGTCAGGAGTTTCTGTTTTTCCGCCCCTGCTTCCCCAGAGCCCAGAACCGTGCCTGACACAGGGCAGCTGCTCCGTAAGAATCTGCTGACGGAATGAATGACGGGGGGCCTCGGGTCCGAGAGAGGAAGGGGCGCTCCTTCAAGGTTACACAATGGTGGTGGGACTCGCCTTCCTGCCACCTCTGCCTGCCACCAGCCCAGGCTCCTCCCTACATGACTGGGAGGTCCTCCAAGGGCTTTTTCCAACAGATGGGCGTCCCACCCCCTGCCTGTGCCTGACTCAGTGGGTCCAGGCTGGAGCCTGAGAATGTTCGCTTCTAACAAGTTCCAAGGCCCGGCCCCGCTGGTTTGAGAGCTACTCCTTGTACCACCCAAATGCCCCGTTGGCCTGGGTCGGGGGCACCACGGGAAGGAGGCCAGGATGGGCCAGTGCTCTCCGGCCACGGCCTAGGACAGGGGTCGGCAAACTCATCAGTCCACAGAGCCAAACACCAACAGGACAACCATTGAAATTTCTTGTGAGAGCCCAATTTTTTAAACGTAAACTTCTTCTAAGGCCACTTCTTCAAAATAGACTCGCCCAGGCCGTGCTATTTTGTGGAAGAGCCACACTCAAGGGGCCCAAGAGCCGCATGTGGCTCGAGAGCCGCAGTTTGCGGACCACGGGCCCAGGACAAGCTTGTCCCACTGCTCATCCGCTTCTAACCTAAACCCTATTGGTCCGACTGTCCGACCCTCCAGCAAAAGCCCCGACAAAGCCTTCCGAGGCCGCCCCAGTCCACACTCCTCTCCCGCTCCCAGAGGCTCCTGCTTTTCTAATTAAGACCATATTGTTCGGTGCTTAATTGTTCCAAAGCCATTTCGCATGTTTGTCTTATCTCCACAGTGACATTCAAACTGTTTAAAGGAGGGCATCCCACGGGACACGCGGAGATGGCCACAGGCCTGGCGGGCCACTGGGCAGGCCCACAGCCCGTGGCCAGGGACCCCAATGCGGCCCCCAGAGAACCCCCTTCCTTCTCCAGAGCCCCGGGTCTCTAGTACTCTCCCCTAGCCACCCCCAAGGCTCTGCTTTCTGGAATGCAGATCACCCAGAGTCTGGATTCCAGCAGCTGGGCCTCATCCCCTTCACCCCCATAGCTGGACGTGCCTCCCCCCCACAACTCTGCCCCCAGCAGCTGTGGCCCAGAGCAGTTGGCTGGCTCACTCCCTCACCTCTCCACCCGGCCCTTAGAGAGGAGAAATACCACCAAGGGGGGCTGGGCTGTCACTGGTGGACAGAGGGACCTGGGGGGGAGCCCCCCCGGGAAGGAAGGCAGGGCAGGGCCAAGTGCGACTTCAAGCAGAACCACAGTCCCGTGGTGGTTCCCTGGGCTGGGCTCGAGGAAGAAGAAGGGGCTGGGGTGGCGGAGTGGGGGCAGGCACGGGGCTGGAATGGGGAGGAATGTGTCCAAGGGATGCAGCCAGAGCCAAAGGGAACCATCCCAACAACAGCAGCGAAACTATGTCAGTCCCAGCCCAAGAGAAACACTCAGGAAGGGAGGAAGCCACGGGAGGCAGGGAGGCGGCAGCGAGGGAGCAGGAGGTGGTGGGAGGCCACCTAGACCAGGGGACAGGGCCGGGGCAGCCAATGCGACCTGCCAGCAGAGAGGATGGCCTCCTGGCTCCGGAGAGGGGTGTGTCTGCTGCTTGGAGACAGAGGCCCGCTGCCCAGGTGGGATTGACCACCTGCAGCCCCAGGGGCACCAGTGACAACCAGTGGGCCTGGGAGCTCCCTGCCCCCTCTGCTGTACCCTCACCTGGCGGCTTCTGGGGTGTCCTCCATAGGAGGGGCGGTCGGCAGCAGTGAGTCCTGGGTTGTGTGCCAGGCTCTGGAAACTGAATGGGGAAATGCACAGTGTGGCGGCTTCTGGGGTGTCCTCCATAGGAGGGGCGGTCGGCAGCAGTGAGTCCTGGGTTGTGTGCCAGGCCCTCTCCCCTCCAGACTGCCCCAGGGAAACAGGGTGCCCCAGTGCCCCCTGGACGCAGCTATTGAGACGGAGAGGCCTGGCCGGGGCCTGACAGCGGGATGCCCACCCCCTGTGCTCACCTTCGGCTGCTCGCCGCCACCTCTCCAGCGAGGGCCTGCGGGCTGGAGGGGGCCTGGGAGGAGGAGGGGCTGCCTGGCTGGGGGCTGAGGGAGGCTGGGCTGGAACAGGAGGACCGGAGGGAGGACTGGCCATCAGCGTGTGTCCTCACTGAGCCCTGTGGAGACGGGGCTGTGAAGAGCCGTCTGCCCATCCCCCGGGCCCTGTCCCTCAGGCCTCCCCTCACTTCTGGGGGCTGGGGCTCCAGGCCGAAGGCACCATCCTACCTGGAAGCGCGTGGCCAGCACCTCCAGGGAGCTTTCCCCGTTGGCCTGCCCGGGAGAGGCAGCCCGGGACCTGCGGAGGACAGAGAGGGCAGTGTCACGGGGGTCCTGGAACCTGCTTAGCTGGGAGGGGCTGGAGATTGCAGCGGCCCCACACCAGGCTCTTGAGACGAGTAAAATGTCCAAGGCATTCATTCAGACAGTGGTTTGTCAACTTTCAACTGGGCCGAATTCAAAACCGGTAACTACTGTCATCACCCACCGTTGTTTCTTAAAGGACAGTTCAGCACCAAAAAAGTAGAGAGGAGTAATTTCGGCAAAAACTTCCATAAATTCAATGTTATTTTAAAAACAACTCCTCACACTATGCCTGTCTTTTTATTTGTTTATTTGTTTATTTATTTATTTTGGATTTTATCCAGACTTTGTCTCTGATCAATTTGCATCCATTTGCAGATCAATTTGCGGGCACATTGCTGATGTTATAAAAGAACCCTGTATCTTTGGCCTTGGAGAACCTGACACCAGAGAGAGAGAGAGAGTGGCCCAAAGCCCTAAGCCCAGCAGTGGCTGGGCCAGCTGCCCGCTGTCCCCAGCCAGAGGCCTGTCCCTCCCAGCTCAGCACTGAGGACGCCTCTGAGAGCCTGTCCTGGTCCCCTCCACAGGCGCCTCCTCTGTAAAGCAGGGGTGGGGCTGCCCCCCTTCCTGCCAGGCAGGCAGCTGCAGGACCCGCAGACCGGCTCCCCAGCCAGTCCCCAAGGCAGTCAGCCAGGGGCTCCCGCTCAGCCCCCCAGCACTGTCCTCCAAAGCTCTTCTCTGTAGAGCCAGCCGGAGCCTGAGGGACGCCGCTGAGGGCTGAGGGCTGGCTGAGAAGCGCCTGCCAAGACCCATCTCCACTGCACCATTCCTGCCGTCTGGCCACTTCCAGAGGGGTCAGCAGAAACCTCAGTCACTCACACCCCATCAGCCTCAGCCTCTGGGGGCAGCGGGTGGGGGGTGGGGGGTACGGCTGTGACGTCAGAGTGAGGGGAGCTTGGGTTGAAGCTCTAGCCCAGAGCACTGCTTCCTGCCACAGGGCTCTGAGTGCCTGAAAGGTCATGGGGGATGGGGAGGGGGGTGTTTACGGAGGATTAAGAGAGGGCTTGCGGGGGGGGGGGGGGGGGGGGCGGGAGAGAAAAAGGGAACCTTGACCCCCTCTCCCCAACATGGAGCTGGAGGCCTGGGGGTACTCAGCCTGGCCCACCTCCCTGAGGAAGTGATGGTGTCAGCAGCTCCCTGACCCTCCCCCCGCTCCACTCCGCAGCCTCTTGTAGATTTTGGTCCCCTTCCCAGATGCCAGGAGGTACTCCTCACCCTCCTCCTCCTTTGGTCCCACTCCTGCAACACTCTTAGGCCAGAGGAGCAAGGAGGAGTCACTGGAGGGGCTGGGGCTGCCCAGGGCATTGTGGGAGCCAGTTTCTACAGCCTGTGGGGCGGGAGGGCCAGGAGAGGGCACGGGGTCAGGGCCAAGGGAGAGCATCGCAGGGCAGAGAGGAAGAACCTGACTCAGGTTCAAGGCCCTCCCGAAGGGCTCTCCTGGCTGAGGGAATCTCCCAGGATTCCTTTCCGGTGACTCACCACGATGCCCCACCTTGGGGAACCACCTGTCCCCCCCTTTCCCCAATCCAGGGCTGCAGGCTGCAAACCCCACTAGCCGGAAACCGGCCTTCACCAGCGAGGCCTTGAGAAGCAATGGAGGGAGGGCCATGAGAGGGGGAGTGAACCACCACACTCCTCCCCTCCCTCCCCCCAGCCCTACCTGAACAAAGGTCACGACCTCTTGGAGGCAGAGGCCCCAGAGGCCCAGCCTAAGGCACACCTTTCCCTCTCCAACCCACTTCATGCCCACGCCCCGTGGCCCACACACTTGGGAACCAGTCAAACCCGGGCATCCAGGTGGCTGATGCCAGCCTGCCCTACCTGTGGCTACACGCCCAGCCAGGCACAGGGACACCCCTCGGCCCACCCTGCCGCAGGCCTGCAGGCCAGGAGCCCGGGACCTTCTCACCGAGGAGCTGAAAGGGCAGGGCGGGGGAGGCGGCCGGGCGGGCGCTGGGCGGGAGGAGAATGCTGGCAGGCCCGGCAGCGGCGAGGAGCCTACCGGTCCAGCTGCAGCCGCAGGGGCGAGGGGCTCTGGCGGATCTTGCTCTGGGCCTCGGCGTGGAGCATGCCCTGTGCGTTCTCCCCGTTGATGGCCAGGATAATGTCGCCAGGCCGGAGGTCAGCTGCCTCGGCCTTGCCCCGCTCCGTTACCTGCAGGGGGTAGGGGGTGCGGGGCGGGGAGGCTGAGGTTCCCTGCTCAGACGGGCAGGTGGCGAGGGGAGGACATTTCCCTCTGTCCCGCCCGAGAAACAGACGCTGGTTCAGACCAGGCTGACCTGTGTCCCCCGTTACGATCTCTCTCCCTGCCCTTGGGTATCTGCCCAGCTCATCAGCTAATGCCCCCCGAAGCCAGAGTGGCCGCCCCCTCTCTCCAAAGAGTATGGGATGACGGAATTTCAGAGCTGTGCTCCCAGACAGAGCCCGGCCAGTGCAAACCGCGACATGCTGGTGACTGCCCGCACCCAGTGTGAATGCTGCCTGGCCCGGCCTGGGTCAAGGTGAAACTGCCAAGATCTGGGGGCTCCAGTCTCATCACCACCTGAAGGGGCTACCAGCAGGGATGGGGTTGGCAGCCAGCAGGGCCCTCGGCCCAGCTCCCTTTCACTACCCAGAAGCCTGCTCCTGACCTGGCTACCACATCCCCATGGCAACAGGGTCCCGGTCCTCCCCGGACCAGCACCCCCGAAGCAGACCTCTGGTTCCAGAACAAAAAGAAAGGAAGGTGTCTGTGGGGCCCGGGCAAACAGAGCCGACGCCCCGTGGAGATGGGGACCCCTCCTCGCCTCCCGGGGCCAGCCCTTACCTTGGTCACCATGATGGGCGTGTGGAAGTCCCTGCCCCCAGTGATCCGGAAGCCCCAGGGCGCCGGCCCCATGACGTCCACCGTCAGCACCATGCCTGAGGGAGAGGAGGGAGAGGGGGAGCCTGACCCCGGACCCCCAAGGACAGCAGGGGAGGGGGAGGAGAGAGGCAACAGGGAGGAGAGGAGGTGACAGGCCCAGGAGCAGCCAGTCAGGGCGGGGGTGGGGTGGGGTGGAGGAAGTGACCAACTCCCTCCTCCCTCCTCCCTCCCCCTCCAGTTGCACTTCCCCCCACCCACGGGGGGAAGCTGTGACTCCAGTTCCCCTTCACGGTGCTCAGCAGGGCAGCTCTGGGGAGGCAGGTGTCAGGGTGCCCGAGAGGGGTTTGCTGGGGAGCACGCAGGTGGCAGGGGATGTGGGCATTTCCTCCTCTCCCCTCCTCCACACCCGGGCTCAGCCCCACTAGTGCTTCCTGTCCCCCAAACCCACAGCAAAGTACTTCCTCCCGCTCTGGGGGAGGGCAGCGCTGGGGGAACAGGGTGACAGCAGGGAGCGGGCGGTGCCCCAGGCGTGTCCCAGGTGAGGCCAGGGTCCTCAGAGCAGCCTCAGGCCACCTGCCCGCCCTTAGCAATGTGGTCCAGCGAGGCAAGCCCGGGCTTCGCACCTCCCCCAGGGCCCAGTGCGCTCTGAACAGCCCCAAAGAAGGGCAAACTCAGCCGCCACGCTGGGCGCACCACGCCCTGGTGCTGGCCAGCAGGGTGAGCTGACGGATGCTGCTGCCTCTGAGGTAGGGCCCAGGCCTCCCATCCTCTGCCCCCTCCGCTGGGCAGGGGAGTGTCCTTGCAGACCGGGCGCTGGTAGGATTTCCGGAGCCTGTAGGTCTGGAGTCAGGAGCCAACCCAGGCAGAAAGCTGCAGCGCCAGCCTGGGCACCACCCTGCCCAGCACCCACCCTGGAGCGGCCCCTGGGGAGGCCCAGAGACGGTGAGGGCTGCCCAGATCTATCCACGGGCACCGGGGCCACCTCCCCGCCCTGGCCATGGGGGCAGCCTGCCCTCCTCCTGGCCTGTGGCTTCCTCCTCCCCCAGGCTGAGCTCCTGGCCCGCCCCAGGACAGAGGGACATGCACAGCCCAGGAGGCCGCCAGCGCGCCCCGGTCCCCGGACCTTTGAGCGGGTCCGTGGACTCCGCGCCCGGCGCAGCCCGGAGGTGCCCAGCCCCAGCCCGTCCGCCCGGCGGCGCCCTCTGCGCCCTGAAACCCAAGTCCCCGGGCCCGGGTCCCGGAGGGCCAGCGCCGGGGCCAGGAAGCCCAGCCAGCGGAGGGTAGGGGTGGTGGGGGGAGGGTGAAGGGGGCTGCGGAGAGGGGCTGGGGGCGCAGGAGCGGCCGGGCCGGGAGGGCGCAGAGCCCGGGAGAGCCGGATCCCGGGGCCGCGGGCCGGCGCAGGTGGGCGCTCCCCGGCCCCGCTCACCTGTCGGGCGGGGCGGCCGGTCCGGGAGGCGAGGGAAGGATGGAGGGAGGGAGGGCGAGGAGACGCCGCGGCTCCCGCTGCCGCCGCCGCCGCTGCCCGGCTCTGCGGAGAGCCGCCCGGGGCCCGGACCTGCCTCCGCCCATGTGATCGGGGCCGCCCCTGCCGCCGCCCCGGCCGGGAAGCCGCCTCCTCCGCGCAGCCCGGCCCGGCGCTGCCGCTGGTCCGCCCCGCGGGGGGCGGGGGGTGTCGGGGTGACTCTCCCTGGAGGGCGCTGAGAGGCTGCGGCTGCTCCCCGAGGGGCTGCCCCCCCGCCCCCTCCAGCAGGAGGTTGTTCCTACCGCTGAGCCTCCCGGCCCTGCCCCGCCCCCTCCAGAGGGCCCGAGGGCCCGGGCGGGGAGGGCCGGCCAGTCCGTCCGCGGTCCGCCGGCCCTTCCGCCGCTGCGGGCTCCCACGCCCGCGCAGAGGCGGCCCGAACCCACAGCTCCGAGCGGGGGTCCGCCCGCCCCTTCCCACCCCCCACCACCCCGAGGCCGGAGCCCGCGGCGGGCAGCGGCGCCAAGCTGCGCGCTGGGGGCTTCCCGGTCCGGGAGGAGATGGAGACTCCGGACGGAGGGCACCCGCTCCCTCCTGGGCTGTGCCTGTCCCTCCGTCTTCTGGGCGGATGCCTCTCCCATGCCCACTGCCCTCGCTTTCTTGCTGTCCTGCCTGGCGCTGGCCAGCCCCCCATACCCCCATTGGCCCTCGCCCCCCACGCACCAGCCCTCTGCCGACCACCTGGAAGCCAGGCTCCAGCGATCAGGAGAGGACAGCCAAGGAGAGGCCCCGGGCACCAGCTCAGAACCATCTGGCCAATGGCTCCCAGAGTCACACCTGGCAACCTCCCCCTGGGCCCTCAGGGCCCACCAGATCCTGGCTTCCTGCCCCCAGAGCTAACCCCCCCACCTCCCACCCCCACCCCGAAGGTCTCCTCATTGCACTTTCTCTGGCAGACAGGCTGGTCTGTTTTCAGGATGGGAGGGGGCACACCTGTGGGCACAGCTGTAACTTGTCTGCCTCATGTCGTCATTCCCTCCCAGTTCCCTTTGCAAGGACTGCCCTTCCCCCCACCCCCCACGCCCTGGGTCTCTGGCCCTCTGCACACACAGCCCAGCTGTCTCCTGCCTGCTACCTCCCCAGTCCTTAGCCTCCCACAGCCCGTCCTCCCTGTGGGTCAGCCACGCTCCCACTAACTGCTCCCATGCCTAGTGAGGTGCGTGCTTGACCTGACGCACCTGTCCAATCCCCTGCCTCGGCCAGGAGCCCTGGGGAGCAGAAAGCCAGAGGGAGTGCCAACACAGCCTTGGGGTCACACAGACCTCACCTCAAATGCCAGGTCTGCCTCTAGCAGCTGTGTGACCTTGGGCCATTTCCTCAGCCCCCCCCCAGGCCTCAGTTTCCCCATCTGTAAAATGGGACAGTGCACAGTTGTACAGATTGCCCTCCCATATAAAGCTGTCTGCACACAGACTCCTCTGAGGACAGACTGTTCCCTCCCCAGAGCCTAGCACAGCACTCATTCCCCCCCGAGGGCATTGGATAAATATTTGAATTGGATGAATATTGTTTTGATGCTTGAAAGGATTCACACCCCTCCCCCAATCTGTCTTACACCTTTGGGTGCTCCTGACTTTGCCGTGGACAGTCTCTAGACACATGGACAGGTTCATCAGCAGGATCTCAGCTCTGAGGGTTCCACATTCACAAAACTCAAGACGAAGTGGCAGGGCATGACCCCCAGAACAGAAGGGAGTTCAGCTCTGCTCTAGGCACCTCTGTGCCTCTGGGCACCTCGCCCCTCTAACGGGAGCAGCGGCCCCAGGGGCCCGAGGTCCTTTCTGGCTCTGGCCCCTCAGGTCCCCCTCCCCGCTCAGGCCTCTGACCCTCTCCCACCCTCCCCCATCGGGCCAGATCATGGCACCCGAGTGGTCATCGTCCATCAGGATCTGTGGCAGGCAGCCAGGGGCCTGCGGTTGGTTCGCTGCCAAGGTTTCAGGTCCCCATCAAAGAGGGGGTGTGGATCTGGTTTCTGCCCCAGGTAAAGGCAGGCTCAACCCTGGTCCTTACTTGAGGGCATCAGGGAACGCCAAGGAGCTGGGACGGGGATCAGGAACGAGCTAGTGGGATCCCAAAGAATGGCCATGTTTATGGGACAGGGGGGAGGACTGGGCTGGCCAGAGAGGCTGAGGGAGGACACACAGGTCTTGTTCTTCCAGCTGCTGTTGAACCACCCCTGGGCCCGGCCCCACCCAGGCTCAGGGAACCAGTCAGGGCCAGGCCACAGCCCTGTCACTCACAGGCCTCACCCACCTGCCTTGACTCAACGGGCCCCATCACTGCTCCCCACCCCACAGGATTGCAGAAAGAATGTACAAGAGGCCCAGCCCCGGACCGCCCTGCACAAGTCCTTGACCTCGTATGTGACCTTCCTTCCCCACAGGCCTCTGGACAAGGAGTGCCCGGTTGACTTTGTGCACAGACGGCAACAGTCATGAACCTGACTTCAGCATTTTATAACGACGTGACCCAGACAACTGCCTCTCTTTCCTCCCGGGGTCAAAGCTGCCTGCTGGGCCGCGGAGCGCGGGTGTGTAGCACCGCACGCCCTGCTCGGCTCCCAGCAGGGCCAGGAGCAGCGCTTTCCTTCCCTGGCAGGGCAGCCGGGCCCAGACCGTGCCACCACTGTCAGCCCACAGGCACCACCATGCCCCGGGCCTCTGAAACCCTGGGCGAGAAGTCGCCCTGGCTAGCTGTGGCCCACCACTCCCAGCTCCCCACCAGGGACTGCTCAAAACCCCAAGCGGAGCCTAAAGAGGAAAGTAAACAGACCCGCAGGGCTTTGGTGTGGGACCGGGCGCACAGAAGGAAAACATTAGGAGCAGAGCAGTTAAGACGTGTCATCCAGTCCAGCAACCCCACGCTGGCTCCGGAATCAAAACAGCCTGCACACAAGGCCACATTCAGCTCCCATCTCTGGTTTCTCCCCACAATCAGGCCTCACCCTGGGCCCTGTGACGTCAGTGTTCTCTCTCCCTCTCTGCCCTGAGAGATAACCATGCTGCTTTTCCGGCCTCCCCCGCACCCCCACGCACACACTCTCACATCCCACCTGATTCGGCACAGCTCACTGAAGAATGAATCCCCACCGTCACTGCCCAAAAGGAGTGCCAGGCAGGGTCCCCGTATCCACATTTATTTACATTCTCTTCCAGAGGGGACTTGAGGGTTGGGGGGAGCTGGGGGAGGCAGGAGGGCCCGGCCTCTGAGGTCCGACCTCTCTGGGCACTACAGTAGCAGGACAGGCCCAGGGCTTGGCAGCTTTTGGGAAGAGGAGGGGGGGGCTTCAGGTAAGACCTCTTGCCAAGCCCTGAATGCTAAAGAGGCCCTGTGCCCCCCCCCCCCAACTCTCAGGCCCAGATGGAAGCAGGAAGGCACAGGGGGCGGCGGGCCAGCTGGAGTGACGAGGGGGGGGGGGGTGGAGAGGAATCCCCTGCAGGCGGCCTTTGGTCTCTGTGAGGTTAGGAAGCTGCTCCTTGTTAGAGGAACCCCATGGGGGTGAAGCTGGGAGCCAGTCCCTGTTAGAGGAAACGCCATGGCAGAGTGGGGGTGGGGGAACTCGGGGGTCTGGTCTCAATAAGGCCTGGAAACAGTCTCCACTTCAAAGCAGACCTCTGTATTTGGGGAACTGGGGAGGGGAGGAAATAAAAAGACTGTGAAAGGAATGCTTGTGAGCTGTGGGTGGGAGTCAGTCCGGGGGGGCTCCGAGGGGAAGGCTGTTTGTTGGGTTGTCTGCAGATGCCGGCAGCCAGGTCCTGGGGAGGAAGATCCTCTCGCCCTCTGAGAAGTGCTACTGCGCTCCACTCCATCCTGGCTGGGCTCTGAGTTGCCACGGAGACCTCTCACACCGGAGCTACATAATTTCCAGGGAATGTCCCAAATTTCTGCGTCCTCCGGGAGACACCTGAAAGAGGAAAAGACCAAGATCATTCCCCACACTTCCTTTTAAAATAGGAAAGACGAGGGCCCTGCCCCCTGCTGGCAGTGACCAGAACTGCAGGTGGAGCATGGAGGGAGGGAGGTATGGTCTTCCCCATTCCTGCCTGCTAGTGGCAGGCGCTTAGGTAAGCAAAGCTGCACTTGCTAAATTCAACAGGGACTCGGCCGCTGTGGGTAACTCTGCACACAGCACGGAATAACTCCACCCTTCCTCGGGAAAGCAAGGAAGCAGGAGGCCAAATCACGGAATCTAAATCCGAGGGCCTCGCACTGGTCGAGTATGACACCTTCGTTTTAGAGATGGGGCAAATGAGGCCTAGGACAGTGTTTTTCAACCTTTTTTGGGCAAAGGCACACTTGTTTCATGAAAAAAATCACGAGGCACACCACCATTAGAAAATGTTAAAAAATTTAACTCTGTGCCTATATTGACTATATATAAAGTAATTCTCTTGAATAGGAATCAAACACAAAGAAAGTATTTTATAATTACTTTATTATGAAATATTAAGTAAACAAAATAGTGAAAAATTATAAAATTCTTGTCTTGTCTGCACCTACGGCACACCAGGCAACATGTGTGCCGCGGAACAGCGGTTGAAAAACGCTGGCCTAGGAGGCCAAGCGAATTCCCCCAAGCACTCAGCTGTTTAGGGGTAGGAGTGGGCCTAAAATTCAGGCCTCTTTCTGACATCGTTCCCCTTCCCCCCTGAGAAAAACAAAACACCTGTGTCCTGGGGTGGTGAAGGGGGGGATGCTAGGAATACGAAATGGAAGTCCTGGGCCTTCCCTTCCTGGCATCCTGACTTTCTTCTGAGGAGCCCAGGCCCACCTTGCTCCCAGGCCTTGCTGATACTGTTCCCCTGCCGGAGGACCGCTCCCTCCTGCTCTGACACCCTTCGAGGCCCAGCTCCCACGCCTCCTCCAGGAAGCCTTCCCTGACTTGCACTGCCCACCATGTTAAGTCCCACGTGGCTACTGAACATTTAACCCGTGTTAAGGTGACGGAGAAATTGAACTTTCTAAACTTTTCCTCCAGAAGCACTTACTCCACAAAGGTGGTGCTTCGCTTCTTGTCTCTATCCGTTTGCAAAGCGTTGCAGGTTACAAAGAAATGGAAAAGCAGCAGTGTTCCGAGTGAAATGAGAGTGTGCCCCAAACACACCCCTCCGAGGTAAGGACGTTAACCAGTTAGGACTTCACGGTCACTGGTGTGGCTGCAGCCTGGCCACCAGGAGGTGCTGGGGTACAGGTGAGAAAGGTGCCACCCCTGCCCAGGCGCCCGCCCCTCCAACACGCAGGCCGCGCAGCCTGCCGCCCGGGCACCCCGGCTGCTCGCTGTCTCTGAGGACGGCCTCCGCCTCTGAAGCGGAGGCCTGGGCAGGGCTGCCCACTCTGGGAAGCAGGCATGTGACACCTGCGGGGCTGGTCACCTTGGACCAGGCCAAGGCCAGCGTGAGGCTTCCTGCTTCCGTCCTTTGCCTGAGCTGCCCTAGGACCAGCTCTGAGGGCCGGGACCCCTCCCTCCTTTTGGTGGAAAGGGGTTGGGGGAGCTAGCTGCTACATGGCGGGGGGGAGGGGGGAAGGCGAGGCGGGGAGAGAAAGTGGGGGACACACAGGTGTGAGACTTGGTCCCAGTCTGAACTGACTTAATCAGTGACCTGGGCCTCGTCCCTCTTGGAGGTCTGAAGGCAACAACAGAAATGCTGGCTCCGGGGAATCAGCCAGGCCAGAAGGTGGATGTGCTGGGTCAGCCATGACTCTCTGTGTCTCCCCTCCACCTGCCCGCAGGGACCCTGAGGTACACGTCCTTCCAGCCTGCCCCCCTGGCACGCCCCCCAGGCCCACCTACCCACAAACCAGCCGTCGTCGCACTGCTGCATGACATCCACCCGGTCCCCCTCCCGCAGCTCCAGCTCGTCCTCGTTCTGGGGCCTGTACTGGTACACTGCCCGGTACCTGCGGGGGACAGTGTCATGGCAACGGCCAGAGCCCTCACCCCTTCCCGAGACCAGACCCAGAGCCTAAACCCGCGTGCTGCCCCGTCCTGTGGATCTTCCAGGGTTTCCCCGTGTTCCCGACAGCCCTGGCCCCGCTCCTGGAATGGCAGCTCCAGCTCCAGCCCCTTCCTCCCAGGCCTGCTCCCCTCCCCCCGAGCCCGAACCACCACACCCTGCCTCCTCGGTGCTCCCAGGGCCTTCCAGCCTGCTCTCCCGGCTCCCACCCTTCCAAGCTGACCTCAGGGCTGGGCACTGAGGAGACGGAGGCTGGGGGCTGAGGGAGGGGGGCCACAGGGACAGGGACAGGTCAGGAGCACTGCAGACAGTAGCCCCCTCGCCACCAAGAACTAGCGCTACCCATCAGGAGCTTCCCAAACCCACCCTGGGGAGCTGGGGCAGGTAAGAGGGTCGGTGTGCTCAGCACGGCCTGATGCAGCCCCACCCGACGGCACTCACGGGGTCCAGTGTATCTGGGCGGTGTTGTGGGAGGCGGTCCCCAGGTCCACGGCGCGGCTGGAGCCTCCGGGATGGGTCAGAGAGGACCCAGGGGTGCTGAGACTCTGGGGGGCCACGGGAGGAAAAGTGGGCGAAGGCAGCATGAGTGGGGGGGGAGAGTGACATGGCCCCTCTTCCCTGGGCAGCACCGCACCCTCTGCTCATCTGATCCTTTGTCTAAGGCAGGGGTCTTCAAACGTCTCTCATTATGAGAATCACCTGGTGGAGTTGTTAAAACACAGATTCCCGGATCCCAACTATAAGAAGTGCTATCAGGAATCTGTGTTTTAACACCTCCACCAGGTGATTCTCATAATGAGAGAAGTTTGAAGACCCCTGGACTGTAAGGTGACCAGACATCCCCCTTTTGGTGGGACAGTCCCAATTTTTAAACAATTTGTCCCGCGTCCCTTCGGCGTTTTAAAAAAGTCCCGATTCTTCCAAGAATTCTTCCAAGAAATCGGGACTTTTTTAAAACGCCGAAGGGACGCGGGACAAATTGCTAAAAATCGGACAATCTTTCCAAAAATCGGGACTTTTTTAAAATGCCGCAGGGATGGGGAACAAATTGCTAAAAATCGGACAATCTTTCCAAAAATCGGGACTTTTTTAACACGCCGCAGGACGCGGGACAAATTGTTAAAAAATCAGGCGGGACGTCTGGTCACCGTGCCTTTGTCCCCAGGGCCCAGGCGGGGCAGGTGGCCGGTCTCCGAACCCCGCGGACAGCGGCGGGAGGAGCCCGCGCCCCCCGGTGCCGCTCTCACTGGTTTGCTGAGGGAAGCGATGACTGCGGGAGCAATCGGGCTTGTCTGGGAGCCCTCAGGATGGGGCCCAGTGACTCCTTAAGACTAAACGTGTAGCTCCAACCTCTCCTCCCCCCACGACCCTCTGTGTGGGAATGACCATCCTCATTCTGCAGGTGAGGACTATTCTACCTCTGAGAAGACCCACATCCAGAGACAGCAAGTGACATGCCCACGGTCACAGCAGGGCCAGCAGCCCGCCCCTCAGGTCCCCCCTGCACCCTGACCCTAATGCTTTTGGGGCACTGAAGTGGAGTGAAAAGGGTCAGGAGGCTTGGGCTGGCTCTGGGGCCCACTGAGGGCCAGCTGCCTGTCCCATTCTCCTTGCAGCCCGGGAGCCAGGACCAACCGGAGGGCTCAGGGGTCCACAGGGCCACCAAGCAGGCACCCCGCCCGTCTGTCCTGGGGCGGTCCGGGAAGGGTTCCCCGTCACAGGAATGGGGGCACGGGCGGGGAGCGGGGGGGGGGAGAGGTCAGCTCTCCCCTGAAACAGGCCAGCTCACCTGGGTCTGGGGTCTGGGCTCCTGGGCGGGGAAGGAGAAGCCGGCGCGGCGGGGGGAGGTCCGGCCCCCCCAGTCGGTGGGGTCCGCGGGGCTGCGCGGCGCCCCGGGGGAGCTGGGGTGGCGCGCCGCCACCCGGGCGGCGGTCATGCTGGGGGACGCGGGGAGCTGGGGGCCCTCCTCGCAGAGGCGCAGCCGGGGCTCCCGGCACACCTGCACGTAGCTGACCGGGAAGATGCCCTGGCGCCCGGTGCCCGAGATGCGCCCCTCATACCAGTTCTCGTTCACCTTCCGCATCAGGCAGATGCGCTCCCCCTGCGGGAAGGAGACAGGAGTCAGGTCTGGAGGGTACCACGCGCCCACGGCTGCCCCCACGGACACCCAGCGGGGTCGCGGACACCCAGAGGGGTCGGCGGGCTGCTAGTGTGCCCAGGTCGCCCAGCCAGACGGTGGAGTGTCAGGAGCCAAACCCAGGCCGCCTGGCCACGGAGCAGAAGCCACAGGGGAGCCTGGTGGCTAGTTACTGGGGTCCACACCAGGCTCTGCCAGTTCCACGTGTGTGGCCTTAGATAGCTGACTCTGCCCCTCTGAGCCTTGGTTTCCTGACTCGCGAAGTGAGGGTAGCAATGCCGTGGCCGTGAGGCGCTAAGGTCGTCATTGGCAGCTTGGCAAGAAGCACTGGCCAGGCCCTAGCCCGCACGGGCCCTGTCCCGCCTCCACACTGAGCAGTCCTGTCACCACTGCCCACAAACCAACCCCCTGATGACAGGCAGTCCCTCCTCAGGCCCTCAGGGCGGAGGCCAAGGGGGCTGGCCAGGGGAAGGGTCTCCAGCTCTCCCGCCCCACCTCTCCACCAGCCGCTCCTCCTGTTCTGTCCCTGCCTTCTGGGGCCAGCTCTTCTGGGGGACACTCAGTAGGGGCATTCATGGTTTCTGCCCCAAAAATCAGCCAAAGGGAGACCAAACCCTGCTTTCTAGGACAATATTTTTTAAGCTTTCTCGAACATGATCTATCACAAAAATTGTATTGTAGTAACAACCCTCCCCCCCACACACACACACGCGCGCACACACACAGACATAAATGCCTAAAAAATATATTTTTTTAATTTTTGAGAGAGGAAGGGAGGGAGAAACATCAATATGAGATTGATCAGTTGCCTCCCGCACATGCCCGATTGGACTGCTGATCAAACCAACACCTTGGGTATGTGCCCTGACCGGAAATCGGACTGCCACCTTTTGATGTATGGTGTGTCGTGAAACCAACTGAGCCACACTGGCCAGCGCATAAAAGCCTAAAACTGTGATAAAATACCCTTACTACATGCAATGTGTTTTTTTGGTTTTTTTTAGTTGATTTATTTTAAAGAGAAAGAGAAACATCGACCTGTTGTTCCATTTATTAATGCATTCATTGATTGATTCTTGTATGTGCCCTGATCTGGGATCAAACCCACAACTCTGGCATATTGGGACAACTCTAACCAGCTGAGCTACCTAGCCAGGCTACAGGCAAGGCCTTCTAATATTTTCATTTTACTCTTTTAAAAATGCCCTAGCTGGGTTGTTCAGTGGTTAGAGAGTCAGCCTGCAGACTGAAGGGTTCGATTCAGGTCAAGGGCAAGTACGCTGGTTGCAGGTTCGATCCTTAGCCCCAGTCTGGGTATGTGCAGGAGGCAACCAACCAATGAGTCTCTCTTACATCAATGTTTCTCTCTTCCCGTCCCTTCCACTCTCTAAAAAATCCATGGAAAAAAATATCCTCAGGTGAGGATTACAAAAAAAAAAAGAAAAGAAAAAAAAGAAAGAAAGAAAACAAAACAGTAAAAATGCAGATTGTGATCCTCAAAACCTACCAACCTAGCAAAAACTGGTTTGGCTCAGTGGTAGAGCGTCGGTCTGCGGACTGAAAGGTCCCAGGTTCGATTCAGGTCAGGGGCATGTACGTTGGTTGCGGGCACATCCCCGGTAGGGGGTGTGCAAGAGGCAGTTGGTCGATGTTTCTCTCTCATCGGCTTTTCTAGCTCTCTATCTCTCTCCCTTCCTCTCTGTAAAAAATCAATAAAATATATTTTTAAAAAAACACAAAACAAAACAAAACAAAACAAAACCTACCAACCTGGAATAAAGCACTACTCTAGAGGTTTTGGACTTTTAAAATATGAGCTACGTTAAGAGAAATTAATCCAAAGAGACTGGGAAAAACAAAAAATGAAAAGACTAAACGAAGGTGGATACTCCTCTTTTCAACAATGTTTTACTGTAGCCCCAGCCCATTTGGCTCAGTGGATGGAGCATCAGCCTGTGGACTGAAGGTTCGATTCCCGTCAAGGGCACAGGCCCGGGTTACAGGCTCGATCCCCAGTAGGGGGCGTGCAGGAGGCAGCCGACCCATGATAATCTCATCATTGATGTTTCCATCTCTCTCTCCCTCTCCCTTTCCCTCTGAAACCAATAAAGACATATGTTTTAAAAAATAAATAAAGACGTTTTATGGTACGTATTTCCTCGGTCCTCACCAGCCCCAGCCCACCCCCACTCCCCGCCTGCCTGGCCGCACCTTTCGGAAGGACAGCTCCACCTCCAGGTCCCCCTTGAAGTTGTACTGGGCCACGGCCTCTCCGTACTCCAGCACCTGGTAGGTGGGCGGCTTGTGTGGCTTGGGGATTTCGTCGGCAGGCAGCACCTGTAGCGAGGAAGATGAAGAAAAAGGCTCAGCCGGGACACGAACTGGCCACACACCTGGGGATCCCGGAATGGGGAGGCAACCAAGAGAAGGTGGTATGGTAAGGTGACCAGACGTCCCGATTTTTAACAATTTGTCCCAAGTCCCGAGGCATTTTAAAACAGTCCCGATTTTTTTCCAAAAATCGGGACTGTTTTAAAACGCCGCGGGACGTTGCCGAAACCGGTTTGCCTCAGTGGATAGAGCGTCTGTCTGCAGACTGAAAGGTCCCAGGTTCGGTTCTGATCAAGGGCATGTACATTGGTTGCGGGCACATCCCCAGTGGGGGGGTGCGCAAGAGGCAGCTGGTCGGTGTTTCTCTCTCATCGACGTTTCTAGCTCTCTCTCTCTCTCCCTTCCTCTCTGTAAAAAATCAACAAAATATATTAAAAAAACAACGCCACGGGACGTGGGACAAATTGTTAAAAACCGGGACTGTCCCGCCAAAAGCGGGACGTCTGGGATGGTAAGATCTGTCCCCAGGCCAGAGAGGGGACAGACACCGGACGGACACCAGACACAGCCAAGGGGCTGCTGAGTCCCAGGAAGAGCCCTGGAGGAAGACTCTGCACTGGGGGTATATGGAGTGGGCATTATTGGAGTGGGCACTGGGCGGTGGGCAGTTCAGGGAAGGGAGTTGGACTTGGAGGGCAGAAGGAAACAAGTTTCAAGGAGCTGGGCAGCCCCGCTGGCGTGCTCTGAAAGGGAAGCGCTAACACGTTACCATTGCCGAGGACACAGTGTCCCTCCTCCTCCCCCTTCCACACCACCCGCGGCCCACAATCTCCTTACTGTCTTTGCTTCACCCTACTCATACACATCCAAAAGCAGATCAACAGCTTTTTTTAATATATAGGTTTTAAATGTTTTTAGATTTAAAATTTTTATTATTGATTGATTTTTAGAGAGAAACATCGACTTTTTCTACTTATTTATGCATTCATTGTTTTTTTAAGTATATATTTTATTGATTTTTCACAGAAAGGAAGGGAGAGGGATAGATAGCTAGAAACATCGATGAGAGAGAATCATCGACCAGCTGCCTCCTGCACACACCCCACTGGGGACGTGCCTGCAACCAAAGTACATGTTCCTGACCGGAATCTAACCAGGGACCTTTCAGTCCGCAGACTGACAATCTATCCACTGAGCCAAACCAGTTTCGGCCATTGATTGTTTCTTATATGTGCCCTGATGGGGGATAAAACCTGAAACCTTGGAGCATCGGGATGATGCGCTCATCAACTGAGCCACCCACCAGGGCTGTTTTTATTGAGTTTAGAGAGAGAGGGGAAGGAAGGAGGAGGGAAGGAGGGGGAGGGGGAGAAGAGAAGAGAGGGAGAGAGGAAAAGAGAGAGAAAGAAACATTGATTAGTTGTCTCCTGCACACACCAGACCAGGATTGAACCTAAAACCTGGGTGTGTTCCCTGACCAGGAATCCAACCAGTGACCTGTCAGTACATGGAACAATGCTCAAATAACTGAGCACCACTGGCCAGGATGCTAATAAATATTTCATACTAAGACCTAAATGACTGATGACACGGAATACTGTAAATACTTTGCGAACTTTCAGGCTCAGAGAGTCCTGAGTGTGGGAGAGGGCTGCTGATGTCTACTGTATCAACAGCCTGAATGAGCCGAAACTGGTTTGGCTCAGTGGATAGAGCTTCGGCCTGCGGACTGAAAGGTCCCAGGTTCGATTCCAGTCAAGGGCATTTACATTGGTTGCGGGCACATCCCTAGTGGGGGGTGTGCAGGAGGCAGCTGATTGATGATTCTCTCTCGTTAATGTTTCTAACTCTCTATCCCTCTCTCTTCCTCTCTGTAAAAAATCAATAAAGTATATTTAAAAAAAAAAGAAAGAAAAAGAAAAAAGAAAAGCCTGAATGAAAACAACCACCCACTCCATAGTTCAAAGAGGAACTCATGAAGGAAATGGAAAAATAGTTTTGAGTTGAATGAGAAAACACATTAAAACCTGTGGGATGCATTTAAAGCAGTGCTTAGAGGAAAATGTATAGCATTAAATGCATATATTGGGGGGAAATGTTTCAAATCAATCATCTAAACTACCACCCGAAAAAACTAGGGGGAAAAAAGTACAAACTAGACCTAATCCAAGCAGAAGGAAATAATAAAGCGGCAGAAATCAATGATATGGAAAACAAAGATAGAGAAAAATCAATAAAATGTAAGGCTGGTTCTTTGAAAAGATCAATAAAATTAACAAATCTCTAGCCAGAATCAGAGAGCACACAAACTATTAATATCAGGAATGAAAGAAAGGACATCACTGCAGATCTTACTGACGTTAAAATGATAATAAAGATACATTATGAACAACTTCAAATTAATAATTTAGACAGCTTAAAAGACACAAATACCGGAACCTATAACTTCATTCAGATTCTGGATCTTTTCACAACTTGTCTCTGAACCTCAGCAAGCCCATCTGTAAAATGGGGCAGATCTATCCCAGGTTAATGAGAGGAAACGGGAGGTTACTCAGGTGACTCTGGAACAATGAGGTTCAAACTGTTTGGGTCCATTTATATGAAGATTTTTTCAAGTAAATATATTGGAAAAATTTTGGAGATTTCCAGCAATTTGTAAAAACTCACACATAAACCAGGTAGCCTAGAAATATCCCCCCAAAAAAGTTAAAAAATAAATGCATAAAATGTATGTATTTTCTCTTCCTTATGATTTAGCTTACGTTATTGTAAGAATACAGTATATAATACATATAATGTACAAGATAGGTATTAATCAGGAAGGCTTATTTTATCGGTAAGACTTCTTGTTAACAGCAGGCTCTTAGTAGATAAGTTTGGGTGGCCCTGGCTGGTTTGGCTCTATGGATAGAGCGTCAGCCTGCGGACTGGAAGGTCCCAGGTTTGATTCCGGCCAGGGGCACTTGCCTCGGTCCCCAGTAGGGGGCATGCAAGAGGCAGCAATAGATGATTCTCTCATCATTGATGTTTCTCTCTCTCTCTCCCTTCCTCTCTAAAATCAATAAAATATATATATTTTAAAAGTTACATGTGGCTCTTTGTGTGGGGTCATCTTTGTAGGGGGAGGGCCAGTGCCCCTAAGCCCTACATTATTCAAGGGTCAAGTGCACACATAGAAATGAGTGCATGTATATGCGATTTATAAACACCGCACACTTTGTACTCTTGCCAGGTGTAATTAGGATTCACCCCAGGAACAGCCTGAGAGAGATGGGTTCTGCATGGTGGAAGGCTGGGACAGTGACAGCGCTGGCGGGCCTGGTTCTCCCCCGCTGAATGGGCCCCAGCTTTAGCCATGGGACAAACATTTCCTGAAGACAGGCGATGTGCTGGGCCAGGCTGTGGGGGCCACGGCTACTAAGCGGCTGAGACATGGCCCCTGCCCTGGAGCTCACAGTTCACATCTCGGGGAACCCGTGAGCCGTGGCAGCCAGCTCAGGAGAGAAGCCGTGGATGGCTCAGGGCTCTGCATACCCGAATGCCCACTTCTCCACGGCCCCTCGGCCACTGCTGGCCCCAGCTCACCTCCACGTAGTTAGCGGGGAAGATGCCCAGCCTGCCGTGGTGCTCCCCCTCCAGCCAGTTCTTGTCCACCTCCTTGTGGATGTAGACAATGTCCCCCTTCTTCAGGGTCAGCTCCCTGCAGGACAGAGCAGGGGCATTGGCAAGCTGAGGCCCTCCTGGTGGCCCCGTCCAGCACACCCAGTCCCCTCCGCCTCCTGGGGATGCCCACCGCAGCCCCCTGCCCTCTCCCCCAGTGCAGAGCCAGCCCCAAGGGGCAGGGGAGGGAGACAAGGGCACTTACTTGGGGGACTGTGCCTGGAAGTCAAACTTGAGCCTGGCAGCCTTCCTCTATGCAGGGGGAGAAGACACAGGGGGTGACCCCAGGCCCACCCAGGTCCCACTTGCACCCTGACCCTAACGCTCCCACCCCCTTACCTTCTTTTCGTCCTTCCTGGCAGGACTGACCCCTCGTTCAGAGGCACTAGGGTCTGCGGAGAAGCATGAGCTCAGCGTTGGGAGGCCATGCCTGGGGATGGGGGGAGGGGGGCTGGAGGGCTGGGATGGGGTCCCCACCCACTGGCACCGGTGGAAGCAAGGGCTTCTGCCACACCCTAGAGGCACCAGGGCTGGTGAGCGGTGGGGGTGGGCCTCTGAGTGGGGAAAAGGGCAGGATCTGGTCCTTACCTCGGGCTGAGGAAGGGTAGACAAAATCCCTACGGCCTAGGAAGGGGCTTCCTCCATCCGCCATTCTGTGGGGGCTCAGGGGCCAGGAGGCGCCCCGGTAAAGTGCATTCGGGTTGCTGAGGCTCCAGGCAGAGGCCGGGCTGCGGGACGCAGGGAGGGAGGGAGCCACCTGTCTGGCCTCAGCTCTACCAGGCTCACCCGGACCGTCCAAGCTCCCCCAACCCTCACAACCGCCCCAGCTCCGGCCGCCCCGCCGCGGGACGTCCCACTTCCCAAGCCGCGGCCGGCGAGGGCGCGGCCCGCGGGGAGGCGGGAGCGCGGGCCGGTGCGGGCGCGGCGCCCCTCTCCGGCCGGGGCAGCGGCCTCCAGGGCCAGGACGGCCGCCAGCGCGAGCGGTGCCCGGTCCCGGGGAGCCACCTGCCACCTCCCGGCCCCCCGCCCGTCCCACCCGTCCCGGCCGCCCTCCACGTCTCCCCAACTCCGCACCCCTCCCTCCTCTCCCCTCCCTCCCCTCGCCACGTCCCTCCGGCCGCCCGCCCCGCGCTCCGGCCACTCACCGCGCGGAGGCCCGCGGCTCCGGGGGCGGCCGGGACGCCGGGGAGCCCTGTGGGGTGTGGGGGGGAGACAGGGCGTCAGGCCGGACCGTCCGCTGCGGGGCAGCCAGGCCGCCGCCTCCCGGGAAGTTGGCGGCCGGGAAGGAGGAGGGGGCGGGCGGGGCCTGGAGGAGGCGGGAGCCGGAGGAAGCGGAGCGGGTGCGGAAGAGGGGGAGCCGGGAGCGGCGGAGGGGGCGGTGGCGAGGAGAGCCCTGCGAGTGCGGACCGGGAGGTGCGGGCGGGGAGGTGCGGGGGGAAGGGAGGTCGGTACTGGGAGAGGTGTGGGACGCGGAAGTCTGGGGCGGGGAGGTGCGGGGGAGGGACAGGGGAGGTGTGGGGCTGGGGCTGAGAGTTGGGCGGGGGTGATCCGGGGCTGGGACGCGCGCGCGGAGGTCCGGGGCGGGGAGGTGTGGGGTAAGGAGTTCCAGAGGAGGTCCGGGGGAGGAACAGGGGAGGTGCAGGGGGAGGTGTGGGGCTGGGGCGGAGAGGTCCGGGGCGGGAGGTGTGTGTTAGGGGAGGTACAGGGGTCAGGGGTTCCAGAGGAGGTCCGGGGCTGGGACGGGAATGATGGGGGAGGTCCAGGGGCGGTGCGGGGCTGAGCGCGGAGCCGGAGGCTGGGCGGAGTCCCGGGAGAAGCCCGCCCAGCCCGGCGAGGAGGCGCAGACGGGGTGAGTCTGCCCGGGTCACGCCGAGTGCAACCGGAGGGACGCCTGGCGGCCCCTCTCCCCCGGCCCGGCTGCGGCGGGTCCGGGGCGCAGGCTCCGGGGGGCCTGGGGGTCGGTACCTTGGGAGAGGTCTGCCGGGTCTCAATGGCCCGCAGGTCCTTGTCCAGCTCGGCGCTCAGCTTGGCCAGCTCCCTCTCGAGCAGGACCTGCGGCGGGCGATGGGGAGGCTGGGACGGTGCGGACCCGGGGGAGGGGGAAGGGGAGGGGAGGGAAAGCAGTGCACGGTTGGGGGGGGGGGGCGATGGCCCAAGGGCGCAGGGCCCCAGGCCAGGACAGGCTCACCCATCCGGTACTCCCAAGATAGTCCTTAGGACTTCCTGATCTTGCTTTTTTTTTTTTTTTTTTTTTTTTTTTTTTTTTTTTTTTTTTTGTGGTCACTTATCTAATCAAGAGCCTGCAGGATCCCCATTTTCTCTCCCGTCAAGTCTCGGCGGACTTCTACCGCCTGGCTTTCCTGTACCTGCTTCCCTCCACTGCCCGCCTCCCGTCCTGAGCGCGCTCTGCCTGGCCCAACCCGCCAACTCTTTAGAGCTCAGCTCCACCTCTAAGAATACTTCCTGAAAATTCCAGCCCACACGGACCACTCCTCTCTGGCCCTGCTTGGTCAACACACCTTTATTCCATGCATGTTTGAGTGCCTACTGAATGCCATCACTGTGGTGGGTGGTGGGGATACAAAGATAAGCTGTGCGGGGCTGGGGAGGACGGGAGCTGTGGGGTCTGTGTCCTTTGCCCGCGGTCACGGTCACGGTTCACTGGGGCCAGCATCACCCAGAGACCCTCCTTTGCCCCCAGCATCGTTGTCTCCCCTTCCCCCACCTTCCCTGCAGCACTCACCTCGATGGGCTGGGAGGGCTTCTCAGCAGGCTCATCCACCAGAGGTTTCTTGGGCTGAAGATGGGAAGGGCGGGTCAGAGGGGGCGAACTCGCCAACATGCACTGGCCAAGGGTGCACCCGCTCCCAGAGGACCCGGCCCACACGCACCTTCTGCCCAGTCTCTAGTTCTTGCAGAAACTGGTTCCAATACTCTTCTGTCCAGACATTGTCTGCTTTCTCTCGGCGTCTGGGCACCTGCATTGAGGTGGGTAGGCGTCAGCTTGAGTAGAGGGGCACTAGGACCCTGGGCAGGCTTTCAGGCCACTGCCCCACCCCTGTGACCTCCAGTCCCCTACTTGGATTTGCCTCCTTCACTGGCCTCACCGGAAAGAGCATTATCTGTGCTCTTTCCAATGAGGGACCTGGCCAAGAAGGCATGGGGACCCTGTGGGGAGGGCGCTGGGAGGGCTACCTGATTCGGGGTCCTCGGCAGGGAGGAGAATGCTCCAGGGTTACAGCTGAAGGTGCTTCTAGGATATTCTTCAGAGGGGTCCCAGCTTCTTCTAGAGGAAGGGAAGGGCATTTCTTCAGTTTCCTTTACAAGTGAGAGCACAGCCCTGGGAGAGGGAGCTGCACACACACACACACACACACACACACACACACACACACGTCTTCTCCTGCTCCTGGCCCGGGAGCAGTGTTAACACGTGCGTGGAAAGTTATGAGCTCTGAGTTCAAATCTCAGCTCCACCACTTGGCTGTGCTCCCTTTTGGCAAGTAACTGAACCGCCAGAGCCTCAGATTCAATACCTGTGACGTCAGAAGGATTCCCGCCCACGCAAGGGTGTGGTGACGCTTAGAGGGGCCATCCGCCCTGAGGCGCCCAGGAAAGGCCTGACACGTGCTCCTGCTCCAGGAGTGGCCTCGGTGACAGGCCTGCCATTGCGTTCAGGCTGTGGTGATGTATGTTAGTGCCTATCCGGTGAAGCTGGTCTTTTTGGTTGCACCCGTGCCCCAGGGTGTGGGGCTCTAGACTAGTCCGATTTTCCCTGGCAGGAAAGGAGTCTGCAGCCCTGGCCTGCAGCCCTGGCCTGTGATTTCGGAGCCCTGGGCCTCGCTGCTCTGAGGGAGCCGAATCCATGACTTCATCTGGCTGGCCCCTCCGGCCGCACTCCAGGCACCGCACTGTCACACGGGCCCTCTCCCCTCTAGGAATCCCGTCTTGGCTGGCTCCAAGGCTCCAGCCTCTGTTGAATTTGGATGTCTCCACGCAATGGAATGACTGTACCAAGCAGCTTATCAAATGATGGAATGTCTGACCGCAGGGTGAGGATTTGTTGGCTGCAATCATGACTGTTTTCTATTCTCAAAATAATATGAGTGGTAACGAGGATGGAATATGTCGTTCCCAGTTTAAGGAAGCTCTTGTCACAATGAAGTCTGTATTAATAATGTTTGTGGAGACTTGCGATGAGCCTTAATCCTCATGACCACTCTGTGATCCCCATGTAACCGACGGGGTTACTGAGGCTCGGGCTGGTTAAGCTGCTCAGGGCACACCCTGAGTCCAATTCTCCAGCTCGTGGCCTCTCTCTTATCGATGATGATGCTGAGAGCCACAGGTGCGTTATGGCTATGCTGATGAGGTGAATCTCTCATGGCTATGCTAATGAGGTGAATCTCTCATGGCTATGCTAATGAGGTGAATCTCGCCGGAGGAGAATAAGCAGCTGGTGGATCTCACTGAGGGCAAAGTTCCTCATTCCCAAGGTGGGGTCGCACCCCTCCAGGGCCAGGCGGCCGGGTCTGGGCCTGGGCCTGTGTGGTCTCACAGAGAAAAGCAGCTGATCCTTCACCTCCCCGGAGGGGCTCTTCTCTCCGCGGCACCGGGGAGGGAACTTGGATCCTCGGCCCCTTGTTTTCTCCAGGCATCGGAGCGGATGGCCACAGAGCCACACCTACCGGTGGGACATCGGCTCTCCACCCCGTAGAACCTGTGGATCTTTGGGGTGATGACTCCGGCATTGCATCACAGGGGTCTTGACCAGGACTGGGTGCCAAGTCCACCCCTGCCTGCCACTCCCCTCGGGCCCTGGCGGGGAAGGGGGTGCCTGGAGCAGTGGGGGTCCTGAGAAGGGGCTGAACCTACTTGGAGGCTGTGCCAGCTGCTGCCACCAGGGGCTGCCAGTCCCCACAGGGAAGCCAGGGCCCCTCGGCAGCCCTCAGGCCCCTCCCCCATGGCGGCTTACCCGCTCAGAGAAGAGGCCTGGCCTGGCCGGGTTGCAGGTCTTTGCTGAGGCCCTGGACACCTTGAGTCTGCAGAGGTGGCACAGGAGGAAGCCACTGCAGGTGGGAGGAAACAGGGAGGGTGGGGGAGGGGAGAGCAGGGGTTGAGGTCACCTGGTTGACCTTTGGAGGTTTTGACACCCATACCGGCCCATACCCACAGTCCTGGGAAAAGGGGTGGGGTTCCAGACCCCTGAATGTGCACTTTGCAGTAAGACCTTTTCTCTCTTTAAGAAATATTCAGCCAAAACCGGTTTGGCTCAATGGATAGAGCGTCGGCTTGGGGACTGAAGGGTCCCAGGTTCGATTCCGGTCAAGGGAATGTACCTTGGTTGTGCGTATATCCCCAGTAGGGGGTGTGCAAGAGGCAGCTGATCCATGTTTCTCTCTCAGATGTTTCTCTCTATCCCTCTCTCACTTCCTCTCTGTGAAAAATCAATAAAATATATTTTTAAAAAATGTTCAAAGCAGCTCTGGGGTAGACAGAAAAGAGAGGCCCAGAGAAGTCACGGCCAGGGCTGGGCATTCACTGGGCAGGGAAGCTGAGGTTCTTGAATGCCACCTGCCAGGGGTTGGGAGCTTACCGGAAATGGCATACAAACTTCTCCAGCGGAACTAAGCCAACTGGGAAGCCCCAGAGCCAGGCGTGGCTGCAGGGAGGGTCAAATTCAAGGCCAAGCTGGGCGGGCCACCCTCTCACCTCACCTTTGGGTGCTTCCTCGAAGGACCAGTCCAGATGCAAATCTGCGGGAGCAGAAAGGACCGGGTCAGGGATGGGACAGCGAGTGAGGTCGGAGTGCCTGTGAGGCTGCCTCAGCTGCTCCTAGCCTCCCTCCTGCCTAGAGCAGGGGCCGAGGGCCTGAGTCAGGGCCTGAAGAATGTCCCGAGGGAGGGGAGGAATTAGGAGGGCAGTTCTGGGGAGGGCTCGAAATGCCTCTGGCAGACTTAAGGCCTGAGCCGGGCCAACAGGGGCAGTGGACTTGCCCAAATTCCTACTCCTCCCTCAATGGTTCCCATACAGATCCTCTCCCTGAGCTTCACAGACCTGCCCTCACCACTGTGGGGCGGGGAAGGCCACTTCCTCTTCTCCCTCTTGCCCCTCCTGCATCCTCTCCTAAATGCATCTTTCCCCCTTTGCCCAGGCCCACTCCTCACTGTGCTCGTGACTTCCTGGGACCTCCTAGCAACTGATCAGCCAACCCACTCCACCTCCCAGGCGAGCAGACGTGCCCCAACAGCTCCTCAAACGCCAACCAAAACACCCCCCTCCGATCCCAGGCCTCCTTCCGGCTCTGGGGCTCTCCGCTGTCCTCTGCAGCAGGGGCTGGCCCTCGCTCACGGCCCCCAATTCCCTCTGGTGGAGCGGCTCAGCCCAGCACTCTTGCCGCCCTGCTCTTCGAAGGACCCTGTGACTTCCACACCAAATCAAATGGCCATGGGCATGCGCCCAGCAGCAGCAGTAGTCACAGTGGGCCCCTTCCTCTCCTGCAATGTTTCTGCCACTTGGCTTCAGGGAGACCACTCTGGTTCTCCCCTGCCTCCGGCTGCCCCTTCTCGGTCTGTCCTGCTCACCTCAGGAGCCACTCCGTGCCCAAGACTCAGTCTGGGGCTTCTGTCTCTCCCTTTCCCCAGGGCATCGTATCTAATCTTCTGGTGCAAAAAAAAACAAAAAAAAACACACAGCTATTCCAGGGATTTACAACCTTGGCTGCACATTGGAATACTTGGGTGGATTTGCATCAAAATCCCTCTGAGTGAGTCCCAGGTGTTCCCGCCTGCAGCCCAAGCGTGGCCCCTGAACCACAGACCTGTGTCTCTATGGCCTACTCAACGTCTCCACATGGATGCCCACATCTAAAAGGCACCTCTTACGCCTGCAGTCCTCCCTGCATTTGTAAGTGGCAGCTCCATCCTTCCACCTGCGCAGGTTGGTCAGCCGTGACTCCTCTCTTTCAAATCCATCAGCAAATTCCCAGGACTCTGTCTCCGAATCCCAGCAGGCCAGCTGCTGCAGCCCTGGTCTGAGGCACAGTGGCCTCTGGCCTGGGGTAAAGCCAGGCCCCCTAACCAGTCCCCTGCTGCCACCCTGCCCTGTCTTTCCCTCCTGGCAGCCTGCATGAGCCTTTCCAGACATCACTGGTCGGAGCATGCCACTCTTCTGCTCAGAACCGCTCAGCTCTTGCAGAATAAAAGCCACAAGCCCTTATAATGGCTCCCAAGGCCCTCCGGAACCCAATCCCGTCTCCCGCCATCGTCCCCTCACTCCGCTCTGGCCTCTCCTTGATATTCCAGAACGTACCAGACTTGCTTCTGCCCCTGGGTTCCTGGGGTCCCCTTGGTGCAGCACCCCTCCCCTGCCCTGCAGGGCTAACTCCTTCACTCCCTGAGCTCTCGGCACTGGGTAAGCCCCAGCCCTCTGCTCCCCGGTGCTGACCACCAGATGCTGTATTGCGTCTTTATGATCTGCTTATTCTGTCTCCCTTTTTCTTAAGCTTCTTTTCTGTCCTCCCGTTGTATCTTCAGCACCTGGAATAGTGCTTGACACACAGGAAGTGCTCAATACACGGTCACGGGACTAACTGAATGAATGAGTGACCTCAAGGATGCCCAGTGCCCTCAGAGGATCCCGGGAACAGTGCCTGCTCACTGTTCCCTCCCTCCACCCCAGAACATACTTCCTTCGCCTGTTTTAGGAACCTCTTGGCTCAGAGCCTGGGGTGGGTGCACAGAGTTCCCTGAGCAGGCAAGTTCCCTATTCTTCCCCCAACTTCCGAAGCCCCCGGAGCGGGAGCCCACTGGGGTAGAGGTAGAGAGGGGGCCCGGGAGGGTGTCTCACCTGGCATTTTCCGGTGAATCTGATGGAACATTCTCCGGTACCAGTCTCTAGGGCTGTCAACACTCTGGGGTCAGAAAAGGCAATGTCAGGCCACCCTCCTAGCAACTGATCAGCCAACCCACTCCACCTCCCAGGCGAGCAGACGTGCCCCAACAGCTCCTCAAACGCCAACCAAAACACCCCCCTTCGATCCCAGGCCTCCTTCCTGCTCTGGAGCCCTCTGCTGCCATTTTCCCTTCCTGGGCCCTTTTCCTGTGAGCCCAGTTGAGCGGGGGGCAAGGGGGAGATTGTCTTTACTGGCAATGACCTCGTGAAGGGTAATCCATAGGAATTAGAGGCCCAATGAATGAAAATTCATGCAACAGTAGGCCTTCCTTCCCCCGGCTGCCGGTGCCAGCTTCCCTCTGACACTCAGGACCTGGGCTGGCTTCCCTTTGGCCCCGGCTTCATCAGGAAGGATGTCCGGAAGACGGTCAGTCTAATTAGCATATTCCCATTTAGTTATTATAGATAAGATATAGAAAGGATCTCCATCAGTGATGACCCCGATACTGTGAGATTTGGGGCGGTTCACATTTTTTCACTTTTCCATATTTCTGATGTTTCTACAAAGAGCATGTGCTTCTATGAGATGAAACATGAATGCAGTGATATAGGTAGAACTGTTATTTCCCATCCCCTGCCACACCCGAGGCTCCAGACAGCCCTGGAAGGCAGAAAGGCATGGTACTGACCTCAGGTTCGGATGGGGAGATGGGAACTGAACCAAAGGCAAGTGGCTGGCTCAGACAGGCTGGGGTGGGGGTGGGACAAGAACTGCCGGGAGTCCGGAGCCCGGCTCCATCTACGCTCACCTCTCAGGACTCTGTGCTCACTCATTCAGCCAGTCATCCCTCAGCAACCATGTCATGAGCGCTGTGCCAGGCCCTGGGACTAGACTCTAAGAGGGGCCCCTGCCAGCAGTGGCCCTCTGAGAGCCAGGGGGCATTCTCTTACCCCACAAGCCTCTGTGCAACTCAGACACATGACGGCCTGTGGTTTTATGGGGCTCACGACCCCTGAAGCCCATCCTGATCGAACCCCTGCTTTAGTCTGAAATGTTTGGGGTACAGCCTTGGTTGCCCCATCTTGAATTCACAGAAGTGCCCAGCGTGGGTCCCCAGCTCTAGACTCACCGATCGGGGGGCGATGGGCATGCCGCTCTCGTCCACGGGCCCGATGCCCTCGTACTTGACCCAGCGCTTATCCCGGCGTTTGCTGTCCTTGGTCCATGTGGCTGACCAGTTCTGGGGGTGCTGGGAGGCGGGGGCCTTCTGGGTCCCTGCGGGCCGACCCCCAGGGCCTGGCCAGGTCTGATACCAAGCAGGGTCTGCAGGGTGGGCACGAGAGCATTAGCAACGGGCAGGGGCCGCCTGACCTCGTCCCTCCCTCGGTTCTTCGAAATACTGATCCCGTGGGTGTAAGCATTCCAACATCTCCCTGCCTGTGGGAGCTGGGGAGGCAGACGCTATCCTCTCAGCAGGACCACGGGCCTCTGTGTGTTTAGGTTTCAGTTAAAGTGAATAAAAATGGATTTTGACGTGAGACACCCGTGCCCACCCCGCTCCGCTTTCTTGGGGCTGTCCTCGGAGCTTCCGGAGTGAGGGCTGAGAACCATTACTTGCTGGGAATGCTGGGCCATCCCGGCTGGGAGGTACAGGCTGGGGCAGAGAAGGTGCTGGGCTTGGCGGGGGCAGACCTGACTGCAAACTCCAGATCTGCCCCCTGCTGGCTGGGTGATCGTGGACACAACCGTCAGCCTCCCTGAGCCTCAGTTTTCACTTCATGGGTCACCATGGCAAGGACCCAGGGGGAACCAGAGGGGGTGGCCGTGCCCAGCCCAGAGCCTGGCACACACAGAGAGGCTCTCGGTAAGGGACAGGAACTGTTCGCCAGCCGTGGCTCAACTTCCTCGGACCCTTCAGCCCCGGGCAGCAGCCTCCGAGCCCGAACCCTCTGAGGCAGGGGTCTTCAAACTACGGCCCGCGGGCCACATGCGGCCCGCAGAGGAGTCTGATCCTGCCCGCCAGGTTTTTTGGGCAGTGAGCGCAGCCGAGGTGTTACAGTAGGAATTAGTAGTTCATATAGTCCGGCCCTCCAGCTCTCTGAGGGACCGTGATCCGGCCCCCACTTTAAAAAGTTTGAGGACCCCTGCCTGAGGCCCAGCTCCTCACGGGGAAGATGCCCACACTTTGCCAGGGACTGAATACGATGAGGCTTCTGAGGCGCCCTTTCAGGGCTCAGCACGGCCAAGTGCTCAGCAATTATTTGCCAAAGGAATTGAACTCCTGGACGGAGTGCCCGCCCCATGGGAATGCGCAACCAAGGATGCCAGCTCCTCAGGAGAGCCCCAGGCTGGGCCCCGCACAGAGGATGTCCGGGGTCCTCGGACCCCGGGGCCCAGGCTGCGGTGAGCTGTGTTGGGCAGCAGCCTTAGGGCCCTTGTGGGCTTCAGCCCCTGCAGCCACCTGAGCCCACCTTCCTCGGCCCTTCCATCCCCAGGGGGAGCCACTCCCTGCCCTGCGGGAGGCCCCCGGCCCCAGGGCAGTGTCCCCTGCACACTTCCTTCCCTGTCCTGCGGGGAGGAAGGGAAGGATGTGTCAGCCTGCTCTCCCACAGCTTTCACTCTCCCAGGCCAGCATGCTCACCCAGGGAGGGGCAGTTGTTAGAAGGGCAGTGAGAACGGCCCTGCCCTGCACCGGGCTCCGGGCTCCGGGCCCAGGCTTTCCCCGCGCAGACCCACCTGGGTGCTGGGGGGGCTCTCTCCGGGTTGGGAAGTACCCATTGCACACAGTCCTGGGCGCAGGGTCATGGAACTGGAAGTTAAGGGTGTTGGAGCCACCATTCCGGATCACGGGCACCTGTGGGGAGGGGCCAGGAGCGGCATGGGAGGGTGGAGGGACGGCCGCCAGGGCACAGCCAGACCCCACGGCGAGGCTCCAGGGCCAGCTTGGTCCTTTTGCGGGAAACCAGGGAGGCTCCCTGGAGCTACCCTCTGACCCCCTTCCCACCTCCCAGTCCTCTAACCCCCCTGCGCCCCACCTGTCCTGCCGGGTCCCCACCACGACGGGCCCAGCAACCCTCTCCCTCGCTGCCTCACTCACCCGCGTCCCCCTGGAGAATGACCCTCCGTGGGCCCGGAGGTGGCCAGGGATGAAGTCCTCCAGGCTGAGCCCCGGGCGGCTGCAGGGTGGGGCCTGCATACTCGGGTCAAGGTCAGAGGGCGGTGGGTGTGCCAGCAGCTCCTCTGCACGTCCTCTGCGGGGAAGGAGGGAGGAAGGGGAAGCCCTGCTGGACCAGCTGCCGTGCCCTCTGGGCCGGACCTCAGGGTGGGGCCGGAGGGACGGCGGTGGGAGGGCGTCGGGGCCAGCTGGGTGGGAGCTTCGGGACCCAGGAAACAGGCCGCTCTGGGCACCCGCCCACAGGCTGCCAGTGCCGGCTCCCACAGGCACAATGGGCTGCTTGTTAGGCCGGGCAGGAGCTCTGGGTGGCAGTGGGGGAGGGGAGGCCGGGCGAGGAGGAGGGGAGGCTGGCCAGGAGCGGGCCTGCGGGACAAAGCCTCTGGCTGGCCCGCTGGCCAGCCCCTCTGGGGCTCACTACACAGGCGGCGCATCCCCCGAGGGCGGCAGGGGGACTGGCCGCTGGCGGAGGAGGCGGCCTGGGCAGCAGGACTTTCAGTTCCCTCCGTCTGCCCTGGGCCTGCCCTGGGCCCGTGTGCGCATCTGCTCACCAGCGGGCACAGGGCTTCCTCCGGCCACAGCAAGGCCACCCGCCTACTGCCCAGCAGGGCCAAGGGGGAGCGCGTGGGGGCATTTCCAGGCAACAGGAGCCACTCCCCAGCGCTCACGCGCTCCCTCTCTCTCTCTCTCTCTCTAACACACACACACACACCACTTTCCCCTGTGCCTCAGGCTGTTTTTCCACAGAGGGTCTTGGGACAACATGCTTGGCTGGCCAGCCGGGTTCTTTTAAACCCTCCCCTTCCCCCCTCCCCGGGCGGCAAATGTTAGCTCAGAGGAAGGGGCTTCAGGCATCCAGGAGATGGAGGGGGCGGGGCTGTCCAACAGGGCTCTCCTGTCCGGGGACTGGGGTGCAGAGCCCGGTGGACTGGGCCAGAAGCTGGACCTTCCAGGGCTGGACCCACTCTGGTGTTTTTGTTCCTTTAGGCCTGGGTGTGCCTGAGGGGCCTGGGGCTCACGGGAGGGAGGTGGTGGGAGGTAAGGGCAGTGCTGTGCGTGTGACTTGTGGGGTACCGCGGGGTGAGGGGCGAATGAGCAGCCGCGGGGTGTGAGCACAGAGGGTGTCAGTTGTAGGCGGGAGTGCCCAGTTCCGAGGTGCGGTCCCATGAGCAGCACAGGAGTTATGGGGAGCAGAGCGGATGCAGGTACAAGAGGCGCTGTGCTTGCTCCTGTACCCGGTCCCTGCTCAGCCATTGGGGGCTGCAGGGTACAATCAAGGCTGGGGCAACTCCCGGTCACGGGTCTGATGGTGACTTCTGCTGACTCCTGAAAGACCTACTGGGGGCGTAGCTTGCCTGTGCCCGTCCCTGCCTGTGGGGGGAAGTGGGGAGCTGAGGCCAGAGGAGGGGCAGCCCACCAGCTGGATCCAATTAGGACTCCTACCAAAAGCAAAACATGCAGACACACCCGGTTCCTGCAGCTCCCCCTCCTCTCCCCTCCCCCCATGGGGGACATCGAGGCAGAGAGAGGGGGAGATGGGGTCCCGGGCAGGCTGGTTCCTCTCCCAGCCCAGCTGACTGCTTGCGGCCAAGTTGCGAGATCAGCATCAGCAGTGCCTGCTGTCAGCTGACCCTGCCTCCTTCCCACTCTGCTCCCCCCCAGCCTCCATCTGCCCCACCCTGCTGTGCTCCCTGACCCAGGGAGGTCCCCGCAGCATGTTCTGGGCTTGCTGATCCCGGGGGGCGGGGAAGGGGGTCTACCTCTCCCTCTGGCGCAGCTCCAGGGACAGGCAGGGGAGGGTGTGGAGGGGCGGGCTGGGTGTGTGCTTGGCAGCCCGGTGAAGGGACACATTAAAGGGGGCTCCTCACAGGGAGAGGGCGGCATGGGGGAAACTGGCTTCACATCCAGCTGAGGGCAGAGGGTGCCAGGGCACCTGGGGGTCCCCCCAGAATTCGGACAGCCCTCCCCCTCCGCAGCCAGGTCCAAAGGGCTAGGGGAGGAGAGGGGCTGGGCTGTGGTCCGGGGGCTGTGCCCACCAGACAGTGCCCGGGCCTGGGGCTCCGTCCTAGGCGCCTGGCGGGTTTCTAGCTGCGAGTCCACGTGGACAGGACAGGCTTTCCCAGATCCCCCTTTCTGTGGACGGAGGGGACTAGTCTCACCTCTCTCCATCCCGGAGTTTGGGGCAGGTTCCCGGGGGAAGGGCTCTGTGCCTGCGCTCAGGGCGGGCTCCGGGCCGCCGCCTGCGCCCTGGCCACCCCCCTCCCCACCCCTCCCCGCACCTACCTTCCCCCGCGGGCAGGTGGCAGGTGGCGGGGCTTGCGGACGCCGCCGGGGAGGCCGGGGCATCGCAGCCGGACCCCGGGGAGGGCGGGCGGGGAGCGGCTCGGACTGCGCTGTCCGCCCTCGTGACCGCGTCAGGCCGGCCCCGAGGAGGAAGCGGGTGGACGGGCCGGCGCGTGCGGGGAAGGACGGGGCGGGCGGCGCTCTGCCTCCTCCGTGCGGACTGTGAGCGGACGGGGCTCGGGCTCCGGGGACCCGGGAGCCGGGGAGGGGCCGGGCCGGGGGTCCGGCTGGCCAGCCGCCTCCGTCGGGTCGCGGCGCGGACGCTGTGCCCGGGCGGAGCGGCGGGCCGGCCGCGGGGAGGCGCCGGGAGGGGCCGCCGGGGTCCCCGGGGAGCCCGCTCTGGCTTCCCCGCTGCCGCCCGGCCCCCTCGGCAAGCTGGCGTCGGGGCGGGCGCGGGGCGCGGGGGGTGGGGGGGGAGCGCCACTCAGAGTTTCCAGCGGCGTTTCCAGCCAGCGGGCGGGGGAGCCGCGCGGCGGGGCCGGGACGGAGGAAGGGCGCAGCGATTACACGGCGGGTGCGGCCCGCGCTGCCGATACGGCGCCGACGGCACCGCGCTGGGGCCGGGCGGGCGGGGGCCCAGATAGGGCGGCCGCAGGCCCGGGGCCTCGCGGACCGAGGGGGAGGTTTGGGGCTGGTGTAAGCATGCGTCTGGGCGTGTGCAAACACACACATGCACACACGCGCATGCATGCACACATACGTACGTGCACACACACATGCACACACACGCGTGCGCTGCCCAGCCGGCGATGCTCACACGTGCGAGCCCCGTGGGGGGTGGCCCAGGAGGAAACCCGCCCTCCGGACCCCCCCCCCCCCCGGAGCCACGCCCCCGGAGAGGATGCGGGCGGCGCCGGGACAGGGTGACCAGGTCTCCCTGTTCCCACACACCGCGTTTGTTTTTATCTCGCTGCTTTTCCGCTGTTCCCGCTGCTCTGACGCTGCCCAGGAGCCCGCACTCATTGGCTCCCTGACTTTCCTGACCGCCCCTTCTCCCCTCTCCCCTCTCCCCCTCCCTTCTCCCCCCACCCCTCTCTCCCCTCTTCCGTCTCCCCCAGGCGCCAGTGTGCACTCAGGGCCTGTGATAGGAAGTGAGGATGCTCCCTGGCTCTGCTCAGGGACCCCAAGCCCCAAACCGAACAGCAAAGAGGCATTGGGCTATTTCAGATCTATTTTGAGTTCTAAATTAGGAAAATAAACATTCATTGCGTTCTTACTAGGGGTAAGATTGGTGTCCTGAGGCCACTGTGCACTAGAGCAGCGATTTTCAACCGGTGCGCCACAATAAGTTTTAAAACATGCAACTCCTGACTGTTTAGTCAGGAGCACTGACCTCTTCCCTTAGGCTGTCAAATTTAAAAAATGACAACAGCCCTCTGGAGTGACTGCCCTGTCTTGAACCATAAATATATAGGTCATATTACAGAATTGCATCTCATTGGTCACGTCGCATAATAAGGTTGCATCTGATTGGTTAGTTCTTGGTACCAGACATCCATTATGTACAAGTATGGGCACCTGACTTTTTTAAAAATCACGTTGGAGTAAAAAATGGGTAGATAATTACTATTATTTTTTTATTTTGAAATCAGTAAAAATTATATCTATTCTTTATCTGATTGGGAAAAAAAGTATGTGTTTGATTGTGCTGCATGAGGCGAAAATCACTGCTCTAGTGTTTTCCAAGCACATCATTCAACTCAAAAGCTGAGAAGGGAGGGAATGGAGAAAGACGAAACATTTTTTTAAAAAATGTCTACAATCGTTGATGCCCTTAAGTCGATCCTTTCTCAGTTCCGTTACTGGGCTATCCTGGTTGTGGTGAGCCAGCATGCAACATCACAGACCCACTGGGGAAAGAGGGCCGTTTCGGCTGAGGGGGGTGGCAGCTGGCGAGCTCCCAGGGTTTTGGGGGCTGCGCTGGCACCCGGGGGGCCGTTAGGTGCACACGTGTTGGCAGAGGCACGGTTTCCAAGGAAGAGCTTTTAAAGGATCACAGGGGTTCCTGTCTGCAGGTGTGGGGTAGCTGCCTTTGTAAAGACACTTACTGCACTGAGCAGGGAGCTGAAGGAGATCCTCTCTTAGGCCCCCCCCCCCCCAAGACTCAGTGGCTCTCCTGGAAAGCTGGGAGGGTGGGGAAGGGGCGGCAGCCCCACTCGGAGAAAACAGCTGCCCAAAGGAGGGCCGGTGGCAGTGCCTGTTCCCTCCTGTGAAGCTCAGCCACCCCCGGCCACCATCCTCTCCCCTCCCCCAGGGCCAAGAGCCGCGCCCCTCTCCCTTGTCGCCAGTGTTGGTCCCCACCTGTCACGGTCCTCACGGCTAAGGGGGGCCACATCTCTTTCACGTTCTTCCTTGTTCTCCAAAGACTGTGGCGCCGAAGATCTTCCAGCTCCAGGAATCCTGGTCATGCCCCCTCTCACCAGCAGCGAGCTTCTCTCAGTCTCTAAGGCTCTAACCTGGACTCCAAGATAAATATTTAATGTGGAGGCTGCAACTGAGCTGACCAGGGTCCCCACTTCCTGCTTCTCACAAGGCTACCCGCGTCACCTCGATGGGAACGGGGAGCCAGCACACGGCTCTGTAGAGCCCTGAGCTTTTCTCCAGGAAGTGAGGGCACTCCGTTTTGACCTCTGCCTGTCTCCTGTCGCCCAGGATCTGCCTGGCTCACACCTCTCTCAGCTCGGAGCCTGCTTTGCTCTGGCACCAATGGAAGTCACTCTCCGTCCCAGAGTCTTAGACTATGTGCTTGGCCCAAGGAGGAGCTTTGCAAGTCCCTGCACCCGGCTCCCTGATGCCCACCGGCCTCACAGAAGAGAGGGTACGAGATCAGTGGGAACAGAAAGCATAAGGCACCGTGACCAGCACTTTTTCTTTAGAGACAAGAATCCTTCCTCTTTGAAAGGTGAGAGATGAAAGGGGAAAAGTAGCAAAGTCCAGAGATTCAGCCCAGAACCAGGTGTCTGATTTCTCCACTCCCCGCTCCAGCCTCAGCTCCACTTGCTGCTGCCCCAACCCGCAGACAGCTGGCACGGTGCAGTGAGCGGCCGCCGGGGCCACCAGGCTGCCCTAGGTAACGCGGCTGTTGTCAACAACAGAGCGGACTCAGATTCCTTTCATCCCAGTGCGTTATCTCCGGACTCCCTTAGCGTCTCACCGCCCGCCCTCTGGGTGACTCTTCCCCCCACCCCTCCCTCACCCCCACCCTGGCACTACCTTTTGTCAGGGGGCCACTCTGCCTTCTCGGAGCCACCTGAGCCATAGTAAACACAGTTATGTAACTGCTCTGTTTTCCTGGCCATCTGATCCTGACAGCAGCAGGCCCCACCCCCGACCTCCCATTCTGAGGGTTACCCCCAAGACACCCAGGCCACGGAGGTCTGTCCGTGTCCATCACCCTCAGGGCCAGGAGGCGACCAATGGACGTGGCTCTTCCCCAGGGGGGCGGGGGAGGAGGGGGGCTGTCAGCTGTACAGGAATGCGGGTCACTGTGAAAACCAACCTCTGTCACCGGGAGGGTGAATGGGAATAGCACTGAACCGGGGTGTTATTGTAAGTGAGCGGGGTGAGCAGAGAATTCAGTTTTATTTCTCAAGTGGGGGAAAAGGAAGCAAGGGATCCCAGGAGACATAAACCTGAACTCTCCCTTCTTGAGGGGTGTCCTTATCGAGCACGGGGAGCCTGGCCTTCCAATGGCACGCTCATGTCTAGCCTGAGCTGGCACCCCGGCACTGGGCCCCAGCCCCCCATACTAGACAGCGGAGGCGTGTTGCTATGCCTTCTCTTCCCCTCCGCAGGGATGGACTCCGACACCCTCTTCAGTGAGGCTCCAAGCAGGTTTTTATGTGTGACCTCAGAAACGTGCTCTCTTCCTGCCAGGAGAACTGAACCAGCGGACCAGAATGATTAACAGAAAGCACGGGTACCTTTCAAGGAGCATGGATCTCTCTAGAGAGGAAGACCACAGAGTGAGGAGTGGAAACCAAGTCACTCAGACACGACAGTACAAATCCCGGACATGCTGCATCCTCTGGGCTCCACCCCTTTCTCCTGGGTCCCCTCCTGATGCCAGCTCCTGCCAACACCAAGTGCTCCTGCTGGCCCTCGTCCAAGCCAAAGCTCCCTGGGAACAGACACCGCTGAAGAAGAACACGAGAGACCCACTGCGAGGCTTGGCGGACCCTCCTGAGCCGGCACCGGCATGACCCGGGCCATCTGGAACCCCAGGTTTGGGGTATAGTCCCTGGAAGGAAAGGAGTGAAAAAAACACCCACTCCAGGTCAAGTGCGGGCAGCACAGGCAGCAGAGCGAGAGAGCATATCCCCAGGGGAAAGAGACTAAGGCTTCCAGGCCTGCCTCGCACAGACCTCCTTTCCACAGCACACACGGTGTAACCGGGACCGACTCAGGCTTCTCAGCCGCAATCACCTCTCATCCCCAAGGCTGTGAGAGAACTCCGCCTTTTGTCCAAGTATCTAGTCTATCTCCGAGGAAGCCTCTGCGCTGCCATCCACCGCCGCTCACGCCCCCCTCCGTTCACAGATGAGCACACAGCACGAGGCGCAGACGTGTGTGTGTGTGTGTGTGTGTGTGTGTGTGTGTGTGTGTGTGTTTGCCTTGGAGAACTGAGCTGGAGGAATGAACCTCTTTTAGTTCTCACGAAAGTAAGCGCAAGTGGCTGACAGCTCTTTAGAAAGCAGGGTTTAAAAGGCAAGGATAAATAAGCGATGACCTCAGAGGGAAACCCAGCCAAGTTGACTCAGCCACAAAGGGCACACAGACCAGGAGCTGGGAAACTAGGTCTGCATCAGCCGCCTCTCCCAGCGCGGCCACGCTCAGATAAGGAGGATGAGAGGGCTGCCTTGTCGGCCTGTGGACATCGTGAGGCTGGGCTCTGGCCTCCGAACAAAGAGTCACCTTGTCTTCCCGCCTCCTTGAGTTCCGTGATGACCCTTCTCCTCAACTGCAGCAACGTTGTTATAAAGACGGCCTCGTTTGCCATTCAGTTATTAATCTGCTGCCTCAACTTTAAAGACTTTTTCTAAAACCTGAGAGGCCTGATGCAAGAACAAGGCCACGTGCCCTAGCAGGTTTGGCTCAGTGGATAGAGCGTCGGCCTGCCAACTGAAAGGTCCCAGGTTCAATTCCGGTCAAGGGCACATGCCCGGGTTGTGGGCTTGATCCCTAGTGGGGGACTTGCAGGAGGCAGCCGATCCATGATTCTCTCTCATCATGGACGTTTCTATCTCTCTCTCCCTTTTCCTTCATCTCTGAAATCAAAT